AGAAGAAGAAGTGGTTAATAAAGTATTGATCTCCCACTTTCAGGGGCAGTTCACCCAAAAATCAAAAATACATGTTTCTCCTTTTTCACGTGCTGCTATTTATCAGTCTAAAGTGTTTCTTTGTGATTTGCAAAGTGTTGGAGATTTCAGCCAAAGAAATGTCTGCCTTCTCTCTTTAATATAACAGATCTAGATGTCACTCAGCTTGTGGTGCTCAAAGTGCCAGAACAATTAATGACCTGAGGCCTGTACTACAAAGCAGGATTTGGAGTTAGCGAGCTAACTTCAGGGTTAACTTTGGGTTTTCAGTACTGTGAAGCTGGTTCTCTTTTTACCAGGATAAATCACTGTGGTAACTTATGCAGGTTATGTTCAGAGTATCAGATCACACCCTGTCAACACCCTGGAGGTGAATTTTTGGATAGTATTTTCAATATTTCTACATTTTCTGTTATAAGATTGCAGAGTATCATTAACATCCAACACCATTGACATTGTGGTTATCCAGAGGGCCAGTGTTAGGGACAGTCAAGCCAGATAACCAACAGATATCCTGGGTAAGTTGAACTGGCTTTGTAGTACAGAGGGTCACTCAAAATAATCCACAGACCTTGCTGTGAGCAGTCTAATGTAGGAACTATTTTCTTTCTACCAAACTACACCCACTGACTGTATCACTGCCCAGAAGGAAGTGTGCATCCACTGCTAGCTCACCTAGGCAGACACCATTAGCGTTTACATCTCGCACTGTCACAAGCATGAGCCTCTCATCCACGAGAAAACGCATGCTTCCTTCTGTGCAGTGATTTGGTTGGCTGGCGCAGTATAAGGAAAATAGATCCTACATGTAACTGCTCACAACAAGGTCTGTGGATTATCTTGAGTAACCAGGTCATAATTTCTGGAAAGAGACATTGCTGTTGAGTTTTTAAAAAATGTTTTGGTGCTTTGAGCACCACAAGCTGAGTGCCATCTAGTTCCATTATACTGGAGAGAAGGCAGACCTTTCTATGGCCGATATCTCCAATACTGCAACTCACACCAAAACAATTTAGCCTGATAAATAGCACTGCAGATAAGAGGGGAAAAGATATCTTTGATTTTGTAAGTAGAAGTGGTTGTACTATGTTAGAAAAATACTTCACTACAAGTAAAAGTCCAGCATTGATCATTTCACCCACACTTGCAATAACAATCTTATCAGTCTTATTTTAGCTGAAAGGTCAGAGCTCCAACACTTGGAGTGTCCTCCGTGTGTCTGACAGAGAATAACAGATGCAGTTGCATAATGAAGTTAAAACTGGGAAGAGGGAGAACAGGGAGGTTTACTGATAACTTTTATGGGAACAGGACCAAAGCAAATCTCTCATACACAGATGAAATGTGCTCAAGGACACAGTTCAGTTCAGTTCAGGTCAGGTTAAAACTTCCACATTAGAGGGAAGCAGAATACTCTTTAAACAGCAGGATATTATATGTCCTATATGGTGATGATACATTTTGTCCCTCCATCCATCCATCCATTTTCATCTGCTTATCCGGGACCAGGCCACAGGGGCAGCACGCCAAGCAAAGTACCCCAAGTGGAGACTATCACAGGGCTGACACATGGAGACAGACATCACTCACGCTTACATTCACACCTATGGCAAATCTAGAGTTACTGATTAACCTCACTTTGTCAGTCAGTCTGGAGCAAAGTGTTAGACCGACCAACTGCTGCATTAACGCTGCTAGCATGGCTACAAAGGAAGCGAAGAAGCCATTGTAACTCACTTCGGTCAATAACAGGAAGCAGCAGGGAAATAAAAACAAACACGACAGCAAGGTAGTTGAGCGTTATTTTATTGAACAGAAAAAAACTCAAAAATGAGTGTGTTAAAGTGTGGTTCTTCATGTTAAAGCATTTAAGCTCATCACTAATAAAGTGCACTTTCAGTTTACAACCAAATGGAGACTCAAATTCATCTCCCCTTTCCCTCCCACTAGCTCAATCAGATCCCACCGGGCGCAGGACTCTCTGCACCGGAGCTCTCCTAGGTAGATCATATATATCAGACCAAGTGCAACGACTGAGCGTCTCAGTGAGGGCGAGTGCATAAGTGTCAATGGAAGATCAGCGCGTTAAGAGTCTCTCACCCGGGTCTAAAATGTGTCAGACTAAACCTGCTACTGTTTTCTATCCTGGCTCAGTTAAACCCAGAAAAAAAGCAATAAAATGACAGATGGTGACTTCTGCACGAATCTGACTGATTATGTAATTGAGTGATTGTAAAATAGCACAGTATTTCTTAACAGGGTTTCATTAAGGGTCAGCGTTAAGCTAAAATCTTTGCCATGAGTGTCTTTACATTTTAAGATCTTCGCTTTAAAAAAATATTTTTTTCCTATTTCCAGAAGTGTTTTTTCTACATAATATATATGTACAGTTGTATCTTTACAAAGAAAATAATGTTCTGTTAAAGACTGTTTGCAAGGTCGGTATCGACTCCAGTTTGGCACGTATTCCTCATGACTCCACCCAGTAACAGACGAAATGGAAGAGACAGCAGAAACAAGTGCATTCAACACCCAGACTTTCACTATTATCACTTCAAATTCTGCCTCTCCTGATTAGACACAGACACTACGCTAGGAAATTCATCCTATTCCTACCTCTTATTTATAATGAGATGCATTTGAAATGGTAATTCCGCTGATGTGCAGCAAATAGGAATGTCATTCACACGAAAACAAGTTGTCTGATGACGCACTATTCTACAGGGGCACGGCCACAAACCCTGGGGAATGGGCCAAAGAGAAAAACATCTACAGTACATGGGATGAATCAACACTGAAGCTCTAATTTGCCATCTATGGGGATTTAGAAATGTGCTACATACGACACACAATTTACGTCAATAAAGTCAGAGACAAACCAAGAGAATGAAAAAAGAAATAAAAGACACTGCCGCGTTAAGTTTTGAAAAAAACAAAACAAAAACAACAACAAAAAAACAAAACGGGAGCATTTATCACAAGCACACAAACGCACAGCACTGGGGAAAAAAATCAGCCGTGAAGAAACACATCTACAACTAACATTTAACTGTACTTCATATTAGTCTCACTGGGAACTTCCACAATGGAGAACTTCAACTCTTATTGCACTTATTTTCACTTCTTGTGTCAGTTAAAAAAATTGGGCAGTTGTGGGTTATTCCACTTGCATCATGTTAATCCGTCTCATCTTTTGATTTAGAGGAACAGTATGTAAGATTAGGGGGATTAAGTGGTATCTAGCAATGAGGATTACAGATCGCAATCAGCTGAAAATTCTCCCTGTTAGAATTTATTCAGTGTTTACTGTTGAGGAGGTTTTTACTGGGAGCTGAATTATCCACAGAGGTCTTCTCCTTCATGTCTCAGACAGGCCGCTAGCCCAGCACCTACTCATGTGAGCTCACGTTTTATTTCTGATAACTGAAGATCCAGGAGCTGTATTCACAAAAACTTTCTGAGAACACTCATACCCCTTTATCACCAAAGCAGTTCCAGTGCTGGTGCTGGTTCTGAGTTGGTTCAACTTGCGAACCAGCTGAGAACCAATTTGCTTTTCCACGGCTCGAGGTGGTTAGGGTGCCACGTCATTGCGTCACTGTATACATCAGTTACGTCGTTGCTTTCCCACTGGCGCCAAGCTCGAAGGAACAACAACAACAACGATGTTGGACCACATATTTGTGCAGCTGTTACTCCTGGCTCTACGAGGCTTCATTGGCATCCAAACACGGCAGATACATCGTATTTGTGCTGCTCGACAAGATTTGTATGGACGGCGATTACGTTCCAGAAGACAGGTAATAACCTAACATGGTCTCAATAACCCCGCCCCCTTCCCCGTGACGTATGTGGTTCGTTCTTCTAGTCCAGCAAAGAACTGGTGCCACTCTGGAACCGTTTCTTTCTGGCCCAGAGCCAGTTCTTTTGTCTGTCGAAACAGGAAAACCGGTTCCAAATTAAGCACTGGCCCCGAACCAGCACTGGAACTGCTTTGGTGGAAAAGGGGTAACAGAGAGCTCCTAACTTAGCCTAAACATTTTTAGTAAGTCCTAGTTTAGGAGTGATTTATGAAAGGAAGGGACAGGAACTCTTGTCTTAGTGAGGAGGTGTGGTTGACCCTGTTGCTAGGTATGACACATTCTTTTAACAGATGTGATTGGTTGTCACAGACATGCCCTTTTGTAAGCCTTCAAGGTGTGGACACCCAGTGGAAGTGAACTGCATCACAATATGAGACTTTGAAAGTGTTGTCACTGTTAGTGTGATCACTCTGCTGATGGAAGTTTGAGGGAGACAAAAGTCATCACTGCCGGAGTGTTGAATTTTTCCAGTTTTCCAAATATCTGAGTAAGTGATCATTTAATTTCTGGCGTTATAGTGTTATTGCGTTGGGTTGAAATGTGTGCGTATCCCTCATGAGATCAACCACAAACATTATTCCTGCACAATCTTATCTGTAGCATTTTGTTCATTCATTGTTTGGAGAATATTTCTCCGACCTTTTTGTGTTTTCACCATTTTCTCCTCTGGTTAAGCCTCTTAAAAGTCCTCCTCCCTACACCTAACAGTTTTTCACCTAAGGGGCTCTCTTAGGGCTAAGTTGCTTTGTGAATCATTTTTATCTTTACCAGTATCCAGTCTTAACTTTAAGGGGAATCCTTCGAGAACGTCATAATTCTAAGAATTTTCTTAGAATTTTGTCTCTAAGAGCAAATCTTTGTACTAGGAAGCTTTGTGAATACGGCCCCAGACGTTCAGGGTTTTTTTTATCAGGAGACAAATTATCCCCAGAGGTCTCCTCCTCTCCAAACAAACAGAACTGGTGATTTAAACCCATAAAACCACTAAATGAAGCAGTTTTATGTAAAAAAAAAAAACAACAACAACAAAAAAGTGTGTTTTTCCGACGCTGTCATTATGGAGGGGCTGCTAACTACGGTAGCAGACGCGAAATCGTGAATGGCCCTATCTAGAGGCAGTGTTTGTTTCATCTGTTTTGGGCTACTGCAGAAACATGGCAGTGCAACATGGCACACTCCTGGGACAAGGACCCAGTCCGTATGTAATTGGCTGATTCTAAGTTAACGAAAAATTCTTATCTGCAGGAAATTACACATGAAAGAAAACATACTTGTTATATGTTATATTCCATTTCTGCTGATATATCCCCCTAAATCCTACACACTGGACCTTTAACATGCAACTGACAAAATTAAAACCAGTTTTCTTTCAGCTGTACTCTTAAGTCGTGTATCACATACACTATATCCTTCACACTGCGAGCCTCGACACAAGTACCCTCACATACAGAGCTCTAAGAAGAGCCATATTACACACACACACCTTCATTATTGACCAGTCTGCATTACAAATAACAGTAATAAATATGTTAAGTACAATAAATATGGGTTTTTGATCAGAATAAAAAATTATAAAGATTCGGCTGATTTGAATGGAGATCCAGAGAAAACAGGATTTCCTTTCACGTGTAGTGTTGGAGCATTTGGCTCAGTTGGGTTAAGTGTTGATCATATGTGGTTAGACAGACACCGAGTTGTCACATCAGACAGACAGCAGCTCACAGAGTGATTCTCTGTGGGACAACACAACCTCTACACACTGTCAACTGTTGAAGTTTAGGTAGTTTTCAGCTTGTGAGCTCTCTCATTAATGCTCAGATATTGCTTCAAAACCACTGAAAATGCATGAAACCTCTCTATGCGTATTATACAGTGTCTGTCTCCAACTTCATATAAGTCTCATGCATCCACCAGGGACATGAACAAAGGACTGGACAGTGATGATGAGGAAAATAGCCCTAATGAAAGGAGTTAACAGGGGGTGACACATCACGGAAGAAGACCTTATATACATATAAATGATATAGTACAATTTTAGACAACAGTCTGTATGTGCACCACGTAGAGAATCACCTCTGCAGGCTTCTCCCACCAGTCTACACACCAAGCCTGAGGCGCTCGGTGTGAATGAACGCTCCTTTTTTGTTTCCGACATGCTGTTGAGCATTTTTGCTTTTGTTTTAAAGTGCAGTCCAGATGCAGGTGACTAAAAGGCAAGACGCAAATTACACAGAGAGAGAGAAAGAAGAAGAAGATGAAGCACAGGTTAACCCGGAGGTTGGGGTTGGGACAGAGGATTGGCACGCACGAACATCAGAGAGGTCTGACTTGGAGAATGGGAACAGGATGGGATGGAGACGGCTGGAGTCTGGGTCTGTTAGGCTGAAGGTACAAAAAAAAAAAAAAAAAAAAAAGGTCTCATCCTATTCAGTCATCTCCTGTGTCACTGATGCAGCTCCAGTCACTCCCTGGACTGGTAGAAGAGGATGTATCCTGACTCAGAGTTCTTGGAGATGTCTGAGGTAAGCCCGTAAAACTCCTCGATGGCCTGGGCATCAATTTTCTGCATAACACAAGTAAGACGTTGTTTACTGATGATAAAAGCAGCAACAAATGTACAAACAGATGAGTCAAGGAACATTCAAGGAAGCCGTAACAGGCTAAGACTGAGAGTGACGCACCTCCACAATGTCATCATCAAACAGCAGCCAGAAGCCGTGACTCTTCACTATGGTGATGTAATGACCTCTATTTGGGCCACTGAGGAAACAGAGACAAACAGTGACTCTCTACTGCAGACACCTTACCCTCTCAACAGCCCCACACTGCACTACATCAAGGTCTGTCACGATTATTACGTTATCAACTTATCGCATGATATGTGGACATGACCTCATTTTGCTGACCTCAATATTTCTCATTGTGTTTACATGTGTGTTTGTTAACATAAGCATTCACCACTATAGCAAACATGATGCTGTAATAAACAGCAAGCCCGGCCTTTATAAGACTTGGATGCAGCAACTCTCCCTTTTTTCTTTATCTACCTCACCTACTTGCAGGTGTGCGAAGAAAAATAAGAAAACACTTCAAACATGACACAGCATAGCTCATCAGTAGCCTGCAGCTGCACTTGTGTAACTTTATTTTCCTCTCAATAAAATCCATCCGCAACCACCTGGCTCTCAGGCCCGAAAATCCCCGGGAGCCGACTGCAGCACACCAACCAGATTATGGAGATAACTTCGGTGTGAGGTGTGAGCTTTGCGAAGCTTGTCTGTTAGTCCCAAGAGGCATCACTTGGTTTTGTTTTTGTTGGCAAAGGCACTTTAATTTACACTACAAAAGTGTTTTTAAGAAATACATTAATTTCTTTTTCATATTCTAATTTTAATGTCTGAATATTCTTATAAAATTAAAAGTTCATTGCTCTTTGAAAGGGTGTACTTGCATTATTATGCTTTTATATTATCATTATATGAGTGGTGTAAAATGGTCTCAAAGTAACAATACTGTCTTTTATCGCAGTTATTTTCTGGGACAATATATCATCAAGCAAAGGCAGTTATTGTGACAAGCCTAAGCTCATCTGTCTTAGCTTCCTGCAGGAGCTGCTCAAGTTATCTGTGCAAAATAAATGCAGAACACAGTTTGCCACACATATCTCTTTGTTTTGGTTGTTGTTAGTCTTTTTCTTTGCACATAACTGCAACTTGAGATGACAACTTATGTTAATCTCTTGTATGTTAATGGAAGGTCTCTATAAATAAAGTGTTAGCAGTTGAACAGGTGTACCTAATAAAGTGGCCGGTGATTGTATGTGTTACAGGTTTTCAGGTCATTCTAAGCAGTGACGCAGAAACTCTGTCTCTGAAGAAAAGAAGAAAACTAAGCCAATCTCATACTTGAGCATGAGCCAAGGTCCTCAAAACTTGTATTGCTGTTTTTCAACTTCAAGCTTAAAGGCTTATACAATACTGCAGTTGGATGTTAAGGTAAACACTTGCTTTCTAACCTGAACTCTTGTCCTTAGTGAGAATATATATAGAATCCATTAACATGCAAATATTTTTCATTTCAAGAGTTTAACTGCTGGATGTCATGTCTCCTACTTCATGGAAAAGTCTTCACACTCGTGGAAGTTGCAAATTGGACTGTGACTTGGTTCAGAGACTCGTTGTGATGTCACAAAATCATGTATGTACAAATCTTTAACTCATATTCAAGATGAGCACAGAATTCGGACATGTTCCTCTGCCTGTTGCTGCTCCCTCTCTCTTCTTGTCTGCTCTTCAGTTTCATTGAGCTCTGCGTCCGTGTACTCCGTGTTCAAATAAATTCAGGCGGTCATCAAATTCATATGGCTCATCCAGATCCAGTTGGTCAAAATCTGGTAAAAATTCAGCCATGACTACTCCAGACAGAGTAACTCCTCACGTTTGTAAGGTCACTCCAGCGGTAACTTCCTGCAGCAACTCAAATCCCGTGAGATGTGAGATTTCAGAGCCAGACTTTTGACTCTCCGAGTGAGTGTTTTGACTTGCCACAACAAAACATGTCCAAATTTTTACCCGATTTTAACCAACTGGATCTGGATGAGCCATTTGAATTTGATGACTGCCCGTATTTATTTGAACACGGACGCAGAGCTCGATGAAACTGAAGAGCGGATGAGGAGAGAGAGGGAGCAGCAACAGGCATAGGAACATGTCTGAATCCAGCTAAAAGTAAACACAGACATTCATTTCTCCTAATATAAAATAGGAAAAAAAAAAAAAAACATTAGTTCCCCTTTAACATACAGACATGAGAGTGACATCATTGTTCTCACAAAAGTCTCGACTAGAAAGCAAAAGAACATATTTCCCAAAATGTCAAACTTTTCGTTTAATATTTTACGGAATACAGTGATGCGATACAGCTGGAATCAATGGACTACCATCTAAAATTTGCTTCTGAAGGAGCACAACAAACGTGGCGCCTGATCAGTGAGTCTGCAGCAGCTTGAGGGGATGAGCTTTGTTGTACTTTGAAACATGACGCTACAATATAAGTTGGTATCAAGTGTAACCGCACCATAACTCATGTTGAGGTCTTTTATGTTGGGCCTGTAATCAGTGTACTGTACCTGCCACAGTGAACCACCACCGCCACTAGATCGTACATGCGATCCAGGTTGACTGCATCCCCAGACGTGTTGAACAGGCGGAGTTCAAGGGGGAAAACCACCCGATAGGACAGCTTGGTGTAGCGGTGCAGCTGCTCCATGTACTTGAACCTCTTCAGGTGTAGTGCCAGGATCATAGGAAGCTTCTTCACACGCATCCTGCACAGAAGCATACGTGCTCAGAGAGGTTTACAATGACAAATCATGACTGTATTAAGCTCAGTGCTTTACTGACCGCTTCTGTGCTTCCTGCTTGCTGCAGCATGTCTCACAGTAGTATTTGTATTCACTGCACAAAGTCTCTGTGTTGCTGAAGTCCCTGGAGGGCAGAGCATGCCACAGGAGGCTTGGTTATTCGACCTCATTCAGGCCAAAGGAAATACGGTCTACTGTCAGCCTGTTAACTGTGACTGAATGTGTAATAAATCAGTTCTACCTGAGACAGTGTGTTATTGATGTGTTTTGCTCCACATCCACAGAAAGATCCAGAAAATCTTCATCTTTGCTGCTCACCTGTCAAAGAGAGAGGGAACTTCACTGTCAGGTTTTTTTTTACTGAGTCAGAAAGGATAAGCCTGCCTGTGCTGTGACATAATACCAACCCGCCCACACCTATACACACAGACAGTCTTTGAAATGCTGATTATACTGAGTAGCTTTTGTCTCTTGCTGTTTGCAGGGGTTGTTCAGGGCAACCCGTCTCACTGCTCACCCTCAAAACTGTGAGGACAAAGCCTACGCCAGCCCTGATGTAAAGTGGGTGGCCGGAGCCCACCGGGTGCGCTCACTGCATCGCTTTCTTTTTTTTTTTGCATCTCTCAGCATCTCTGAACAGGCTAATCCCTTTTCCAGACTTATTCAGGACAGACCTCTTATTCAGGGTGACACGGGGACTGTCAGAGCCGGGGACAGATAACAACATTAAATATACTACCCCTCTCAGGGAACTCAATAGGCAAATAAAGCAGCGCCACACACCGTTTCACAGTTGAGGCAGCGTGTCTCATTGGTCAGTGTGCCCTGGAAGATATCGTGAACCCATGTGGGCTCTGTCTTGTTCTCTGTCTCGGTCTCCGTGGTGACAGCAGTGCCGTTGTTCTTAAGGCGCCCGTTCTGCTTTTCCTGCTTTTTTTCCTCTTGCAGGATGTCGGCCACCGTGTTCAGCAGGTAGTTGAGGAATTCGTGGGCATCCTGTTGCATGTAGTTGTCGAACAGATCTGCAGGGAGACGCAGAGATAAAGTAAAGAAGATAACTTTTTTGGGTTAATAATCTTAAATCCATTTAATAATGATTATCTCCCCATACTGAATCTAATATTTATATTTATATACCTAATGTTTCTGCACACTTAGCATAAAGCCGACCTGTACTAAAATTACTAAAGCAATTCATTTATTTTAGACCAGTGTTTCTCTAACACGGGTTCCTGTGCCACTAGCCGTAATTTGTAGTACTGCAAGGGGTGGGTATTAGGGCTGCAACTAATGATTATTTGATTTCCGACTAATTGTGGATTATTTCTTCGATTAGTCGACTAATCATTTTATCGAAAAATGTGTTAAAATGTTGAAAAATGTCGGTCTGTCTCTCCCAAACCCCAAAATTATCATCTAATGTCTTGATTTGTACTCACACCAAAGGGTTTTAGTTCACCATCACGGGAGAGTGTGCAAAGCTGACCATATTTGAACATAAGAAGCTGCAATAAGAGTATTTTGAGGTACTTTTATAGAACTTTTCTATGAAAAATGACTCAAACAGATTAGTCGACTACTAAAATAGTCACCGATTATTTTAACAGTCGATTAGTCATTGATTAGTCAACTAATCGTTGCAGTCCTAGTGGGTATGTCAGCTTTTTTGAAAGGTTAATTTTATCAGTCATAATTCCTAATAATTATATCACTAAATTTTAAGTAACACATTTTTTCTTTAGTTGATCAGGGACTTTCTGGATTCTCTGCTGGCTGCCGAATAACTACTCCTGATCAAGAAACAGTCGGACACTTGGCCTACCCTCAAACACTGAATTGTTGTTTCAACACTTATTATTATTATTTTTAGTTTCATTTATTCCACTGTAATTAGTATCCAGTTCCTAAAATGTTGAGGCAGAGGGTGCTGTCTGTAGCTCTGGTTGAGGGTGAGAGGCTGTCAGCAGATAAACAGAGATCTGTGTGGGTACATGAGACCCTAAAAAAGAGGCTGGATCATGGGGAGTACCACCAGTTGGTCCGGGAGCTTCTCCTCCATGATGGCTGTTGAAGTACTGCACTTAAATGCTCCCACACCTGCTGTTTTCTACTGAGATTGTGGTAACTACAGTTAGTAAAGTCGTATAGCTCTGGGTATCCAGCAATGGCTATCATAAGTTTTTCCTCCATTGTTTGCCAACTGTAAAGATGGCATGAGCCGCTCTGAGTTTAAGTGTTTTTTTACTCGGGGAGTAAAAAAAACAATAAAACGCTTACAAAAGGTGGCCTCCAGCTGCTCAAACGCTTTCTGTGTGATGAGGGCTAGTTTTTCCCCACTGCTTTATAGTATATATACTTTTATGATTTGCTAGATTACTTCAGTGTTCATAGTATTCTATATGATGACAATAGAGAGAGGTGTCAATGTGGGTTGACTTTTTAAACAGGTGCAATTGTTGGCAACAAAAATCTTTGGCCTTAAGCTACCTCTAACATTTCTCCTTAAGTGTGTATAAAAAGAAAATCACGCATCTAAAAACAAATTGTGAGAACGCGATTAGTTACACCTGTGCTTTTTCCCCTGTGAGAAATGAGGCAACACCAATAATCCCAACATCTACATACACTTCTGTTTTGACAGATCTGCATGTGAAAGTTGAAAACGGAGATTCGGGGGGAGTTGGAGGGAGGAGGGGGCAGAAGGAGAAAAAAAAGTCCAGAGAGGAGGCAGCTGACCAAAGCTGGGTCCCAACAGAGATTGCATTGTTCATTCACATAAAGAGCTTCCTCAATATGGACAGCAGAGAACAGTCGGTCTACTCTCTGAGTGACCTTACCTCCAACATGCACCTGCCCTTCACCTCCAATATTCAGACTACATTAAAGCCAACACTGCTACTGACACACAGTACAGAGCCATAAATCTTCACTCTGGTTGTTTATGAACAAGTAACACACTCAGTAGCTTTGGCAGACAAGAATACTACAAAGAAAGAGCGACAGTACAAAACATGTTCATTGTAGTGACTTAGTAAGCATTAGATCAGATGAGTATTCTCTTTTAAATCCATAATTTTACATTTTGGATTTTTGTTTTTATCTGTGACCAGCAGCTCTATAGCTTTCTCTGTCAGTTGGTCGGCCCACAAAAATTTCTCCACACTGTAGCGACCACAGTTTTTGCCCTAGAAGGCTGAGATTTGGCATGGAGGTCAAGTCTGTGTGTGAAGGTGTGTGTTTGGCTAAAAGAGGAGGCACAAAACTTCCAAATGGATTCACAGACTTCCACAAGATTTTGTTTCAATGTTGGTCATATGTCAAAGAACAGCTGATTAAGGGTCGCAGACACATGCTGCTTTTTTGCACCCTAAAATGCATGATTGATAGTGTGGATGCACGAAAGGCACGCTCAAAAGCAAGAGTGACACTATCCCGGCGTGCAAGTGTTCCTAAGCGTTCCCAAGTGCCTGTTTTTCAGAGCGCACCGGTTGTGCTCTGAGATAAACCAGTATGTCAAAAAGGGGGGTTGGGGGCATCATTGTAGTAGTGACAAGTGTTTGTGCGGCTGTGTGTGTGAGCATGAACATGTGAGTGCATGTGCGTATGAGGTCACAACTGTTGCAGATTCGCACTTATATTTTTTTTACCTGTTGATTCTGTGTGTGTGTTTAATCATGGTAAAATGTGGTCCTGGAGACACTTAGTGTAGCGGGAACTACCACAGAGGCTGCTTCGAGTTCTTGGCCAGGTGACTGATACACACCGTACACACACTGTGTCTTTAAACACCTGGAAACTGCGCTGGGCACTGGGCGCTACTCCAGAGGCAGGTTGCATCTGAGGTTGCTAAGTGACCATAACCAGCATCATATCATAGCCTACTTACCACTAAAATGATCAACTACTTCTCCCTATTTATCACAGACTGATATTTACAGAAGAAGGGAAAGATATCTGCTGGCTGTGATTGGTCAGTCCTTGTCACATGACACGCGATGCGCACTGCTGCGTTCCAAAAGTTGAACTCTGTGTATTTCAGGGCTCAGCGCCCGTGCCCTGAAAAACAGGCACTTGGGAACGCATGCACGTAGACAGATTTTGTCATCACAATAGCGTCACAACCGTGTAAGATGCAGTCACCAAACTTTAGGAGGAGGTAGGAAGTAGGTAAGGAGCCATTGCCCCACAACGTTGAGCCCTCTGCACACATTCTTTGAGAATCCCTGTATCAGGGCTGGAGTGATACCATCGCAGGATGTTCTCTAATCATTATCAAGTTTTCAATCATGCATGTCTTTTATGGGCTCTCACCGTTTTCTTTCCTTAAGCGGGAAATGAACTTCTTGGGCGGGATGACGCCCACTTTCTTTTTCTGTGTTGCAATGGAGTGGAAGAGGTCAGCCAGGCATGTGAGCAGGTTCTCCTTCTTCTTCTGCTGGGCTTTGTAAGCAAGCACGTTCTCCCGGAAAGGCCGGCAGAAGTAGAGAGCCTGGAGCACTGAGTTACAGTAACATGTGTTTCCAAACTGAGGAAGGGAAGGACAGAGGACAAGAACAAAGTGTGAGGACAAAAAGAGATTTCACTCCATTGGTCTCGCTGGTGGAAAAATACAGATGTGCTCAACTGTTCTTATTCATTTGGCAGATGCTACGTCCAGGGTGTTGAGAAATACGGGAGTTTGCGCAAGCGTTATATTAAGGAGACAGAACATCCCTGTATTGGCCAACAGAAACAACACTCTCACCTTCAGTACTAATTATCCAGTAGAGGACATGAGTCAGAGTCCCATGGCAGTTTGTTTTGAAAAATGACACCAGTGTTTTCTATCAAAGCCTTCTGTTGATGTATGAGAGGATTAGGTGATACTCACGTTGACCAATCCAAAGTAGTGTTCATTGATTGGGAATTGCTCCGGGCCGATGTCTTTCTCCAGAGCAGAGGCATTGGTGCCCTGAAAGACCACAGACAACACATGAGAGGGTTTTCTTCATCATCAACATCATCTCATGTAACACAGTTTACTGAGTTATGATAGACAGACAGATAGACAGAATGAGTTGTTATGTTTACATAGGGATGCATGCTGCATTGTCATGTTTACAGTAGCCCAGAATGGACAAACTGGTTCTAGATACTGCAGTTCACATTTTTGTGCCAGCCACAACAGTAAGCAGCCCCTCGGCAAAGAACAGCATCAGAAAAACACTGATCTTCTAACATGAAACTGCTTTATTCAGTGCCTTTACCGGTTTTAATCACCAGGTTTGTTTGTTTCAGAGAGGAAGAGACCTCTGTGGATAATTCTGCTCCTGTAAAAACCTCCTGAACAATAAACACTTGAGGAATTCTAACCTGGAGAAGTTTCAGCTGATTGCAATCTGCAATCCTCACCACTAGATGTCACTACATCCCCCCAAAAATCTTACATACTGGACCTTTAAAAGGCTAAAATGGAGGCCTCTTTTGTTTAGTCTACTTTTATGTACATGTAAAAACCTCCTGAGCATCTGGATCTTGAGTTATCGGGAAAAAGGTGAGTGCACATGAGCATGTGGTGGGTGAGTCTCCAGTCTCCGCCATGCTGAACAGCATCGGAGAAACACTGATTTGTAACGTGAAATTACTTCATTCTGTGTGTTTGCCAGTTTTATACATCTGGTTCATTTGTTTTAGGGAGGAGGAGGAGACCACTGTGATGCCACTACATCCCCCAAAAATCTTACAAACTGTTGGCTACATATATGTATAGCCAAAATAATATGGACATTTTGTGTGGTCAAGGAGCACCAACAGACTATTGACGGTTTAGATACAAAGATAAACCATAATTAGAGGCTCCTTTTTCATACAGCGTAATTGTTAAAATGATCCTTCCTGTTAAATTCCAACGCATCAGTTTCCACTCGACTGTTGTAGCTCGCCTCGGTGCCTTTCTTTGTCAGTAAAAAAACCTCCCAAAACCTAAAAATGTCCTGTCAAAGTAGAAAAAGGATATGGTCTAAATAGGTAGACTCATGTCAAAAGTCAGGAGTATTTTGCACCTGATTGCAGAGACAGACCACTTATCTCTTGTCAGAGCCTTTTCACTTGTCGGAGCTCAAAGCTTTCCAAATGAACCACAGCTTTGTTGAGCGAACACAGAGGACAGTTTAGTTTGGGGGAAGGCTTTGACTTACAATGACTGTCATTTCTCTCTGTCAAAGCAGACAGTGAATACCTCTTTGTCTGATTTACTGCTTCCAGCCTGAGCTCAAGTCTGTGTACTGTACTCGTACGAGCTGACTCTTTCCTTGTGGGATGTCTTATAATGCAAACTGTGACCTTTAGTCTACAAAACTGGAGAGAAACATTAGACGGACTCAGTGGAAAGGTGCCACTGGTGGACCTGAAAATCCATTAAAATCTACACAAAACATTTGTTTGAGAAAATGGAATATCCAGGTGACTCCTACTGACACCTGATGCCACATTTTGACATTCGAGCCATTCATTATAAAACAGCAGGCGGTGGCATCATTTATTTAAAAAGGAAAAAAAAATCATTTATCCTTGACTGTCACAAAGAAAACAATGTTAGGAAAACATGAACTGAGAGTGTTGACAGAGCAGAAGACGCTGTGGAAAATATCGACACCCGCCTACTCGTCACTTGCTTTATTGACAATTATTGTCTTCAACTGAAAACCTTTCAGCCTCATCTTTTGTATCATGTTTACTTATTGTGCTTTTAAGCATCAACAAGTCCTTGGCCCACATTATAAATAATAAATGTTATGAATGATATAATCAGTGTGCTGATGACCCGAATATGCAAAAAGAAATAAATACTCGCACTCCTTCTATAACAACTTGTCACATCTTGACCAATTAGAAAACAATTAATATAAGCTTGACACCTTTCCTCAGTCTGAACTCTGTAAACGCAGGCTCTGTGTTGAAGTGTCTTTACTTTGCCCCCTTATTTCTTTTCTTATGTGCCTGCAGGCAAACGTCAACTGAAAACATTAGTTACTAAAACTTTTGTTTTACCTATAGTTGTTTGATCAATGATTTGATTAATCAGTTTGATTATCTTTTTAATGTTATTTTGCCATATCGTGATAAACTGATATTGGAAACAGAGCTACAGTTACCAAAATTAATAGATTAGTCGATCTTAAATGTAAATATTTGCTGTTTTTTCAGTTTTCTATGATAGTAAACTAAACGTCTTTGGCTTTTGGACTTTTGATTGAGCAAAACAATTAAATTAAAGACTGGGAAACTGTTATGTGCATTTTCCAAGCAAACATGTCAAACGTTGGCTGGTTTCAGCTTCTCAAATCTCAGGAATTGATGCTTTTCTTTGACATATTTGACAGAAAACTAAATATATTTGAGTTTTGCACTGATGGTTTAACTCTTTGAAACCTGGAGCGACATCACTTTTCTTGTGCTGCTTTCAGATGCCTTTTGCAAGTATTTAAACCTTTGAACCCTGAGCACATTGGCGTGATTTCTTTCAAAAACATGGGGGAAAAGGCACTGAGCAACCTGGTAGGAAATTTCCCACAAATTGCAAAAAAAAACAAAAGATAGAAAGAAGAAAAGTATTTTAGAAAAATAGGAAAAAGAGAAAAAAGCTAGGGAAACCTTGTTATCATTACTATAACATTTTAAAAAATAATTTTCTTGTCTTTTCTTTTTATAATATTTTCTGTCTGATTTTTTTTGGCTCATTTCTTCTTTCATTTCTCGTGTTTAAAAAGAAATCCAGCCATTTCGCTCAGATTTCAAAGCGTACATAAAACAAATTATTTGCATACATTGTCTTGGGCTGTGGGAAATTATAAACACCATATTTCACTATTTCTTGGCATCTTGTAAACAATTCAATTAATTGATTAAATTTAAGTATCGGCAGATGAATTGAAAACGATAATACTGTAGTTTCAAGTTACTACATAAGTGTAATGCATTCAATTGAGGAAAAAAAAGTATTTGCTCTGTTTTTCCTGCATTAACAAGATCATTATATCAGAATTATGATAGTAAAATCTTTCATGGTAAGAATTCTGCTCATGTTTTTCTTAATTAAAGGTCCAGTTTGTAGGATTTTTGTGGGATATACTGGCAGAAGTTGGACATAATGAAATAAATATTTTTTTCTGGTGGCACAGTGGTGCAGTGGTTAGCATTGTCACCTCACAACGAGGGTTCCTAGCTCGAACCCCAAGGTGCAGGAACCCATCTGTGCAGAGTTTGCATGTTCTCCCCGTGTCAGCGTGGGTTTCCTCTGTGTACTCCAGCTTCCTCCCACAGTCCAAAGACATGCAGGTTAATTGGTGACTTTAGGTGTGAATGTGAGTGTGAATGGTTGTCTGTCTCTATGTGGCAGCCCTGTGATAGCCTAGCAACCTGCCTAGGGTGTAGCCCGCCTCTCACCCAGTGTCAGCTGGGATAAGCTGTTACTGAAAGCATGTTTTCTTTTGCAAATAATCACCTTAAAAAAAGAGTTGTGATTTTGTCACCTTGGAATGAACTGTTTTTATCTACATAGGGAGAGGGTCCTTGTTCACTGAGACCACCATGTTTCTACAGTAGCCCAGAGTGGACATTTATATTTTCATGTCGGCCACCATAGTAAGCAGCCATGACGGGCAGCATCTGCTGCTTTATTCAGTGTTGTTACCGGTTTGCCGGTAAAAACCTCTTGAACGTCTGGATCAGAAAGAAAGTGACAAGCCGACCAGCGTTTGAGAAACACTGATTCGTAACATTAAACTGCTTTAGTCAGTGTTTTTTTCTGGTTTTAATCACCTGGTCCATTTGTGTTGGAGAAGAGGAGACCTCTGCGGACAATTCTGCTCCCAGTAAAAACCTTCTGAACAATAATCACAGAAGGAATCCTAACTGGGAGCTCACACTTGGCACATGGGAGAGGTTTCAGCTGGTTGCAAACTTCAGTTCTCACCGCCATATGCCACTTCGTTCTAAACACTGCTGCTTTAACAGGATAATAATATTGTAAACTATAGGCTAGTTTTTATGAAGTTTATTATCTCATTAAAGTAAAAAGAGGGAGAACATGACTTTTCCCAAGAAACTTTTTTCATAATTCTGAGATAATTTTGTTAATTCAGGAAAACATTAAGAAAGCAAATCCCCACGAAAACTTTCCTCAAGTGAATGCCTGACGCTTTCGTAAGTTACAGCCCTGACTGGAAAAATATTCATGCTGATGTTGTCATTTCAACAATATCACTGAGCCCTACCTGATACGCACACTCACTGTGCTGAAGACACTGGCTGTTGCAGAGGACAAAAGCTTTGTCCTGTCAGTTTTGCTTACACTAACTGTTTAAACGCTCTACCAAGGGTGCAGGTTTCAACATTGAGAAGGACACATGAAACGAGGGATTTGGGGATCCTGTGCATGAAAAATAAAAGTGCTCTGCTACTTTCCTGTTTTTATTGGAGGGGACAAATGCAATATTGAAGGGGACGTGTCTCCTGCGTTACACCTACGCAAGCTTCCACCTAATGTCCACCCAAGCTGTGTCCATTCAAACTTGACCTGTCTTTCGCAGTGGGAGGTCCATCTTCACCTGTGTCTGCAAACCCACAATATACACACACTGTTTAAGTAGTTCTGCATGGGATGCAGTGTAATAACCCACTGATGCAGGCCAGCAGCACTGCAGGCTTCTGACTTTAGTATCCAGCCACAATAAAGGAAGGGCTCTCTGCTACCAGGATGCAACCAGCTCTCTGCAGCAGCAGCAGCATCACATTATGCAATCACAACAAGCTGTCAGAGGCAGCGCGCTGCTTCATTCACCTGTCAATCATCGCTGACAGCTATACAAATAACACACTGTGTCGTCTCGCCAGGCTGCAACACACAATGTCAACGCGACAGGGAAGCAGCAGCAGTGTGTAAAGGTCTACGACACATTCACAGTCAGGTTGGGATGCAGCAGGCCTGTCTGAGCACTAGTGACCAGCGTTACATCCACTGTGCATCCTCCCCCTGCACACACACTGTCTGTATGCAGGGGGGAGGCGACTCACCCATGTACATCACTACACACCAGTTCAACACAGTGGCTGCACACATCGATAGCAACACACACACACACACACACACACAACCAGCAGACATACTCACCATATTACAAATGGAGGCGATGTTTCTGACAGTCATTTAGTTCACAGTGTCCCCCTCACCGCCATCTTTATAAAATAAACATGATTTCAGAGCAAAGGGCGACGCTGAGAAATGAAGTTAATTCGCAGCCGCGGCTGGAGGCCAGACTGCAAACCCCAAGCGTCAGAGAGCAGGCAGAGAGACACGGAGCACCATGCAGCCTGCACGGAGCTGAGAGTCACACCGCACTCACAGTCGACACGGCTTCATCCTCACACACATCCCGAAAACACCACAGCTGGAAGGCGCCGATGCATGAGGGGACAGTGGACAGGCGAAGTTGCAGGCAGCAGGTTGTTAGCAACGACCAGGAAACAAGCGTGATGTGTGAGGAAGCGCCGTAGCCCCGCCCACATGACCTGAACTCCACAGCTGATTGGTTCACATTCACTGGGTTTGATTGGCAGTGTTAAAGAGCCAAACACAGACCCGGATGGTGAAGTTCATGTGAGCTGCAACCAATCAACAGCAAGTGTTTGACACAATTGTGTGAGGGAGTTGTAGTTCATGAGAGGGACGCATTTAAAGGGATTTTGTAGGCTCTTTGAGTGACTACTCACTAGCCACTTTATTAGGTACACCTGTTCAACTACTCATTAACACAACTAGCTAATCAGCCAATCACATGGCAGCAACTCAGTACATTCAGGCATGTAGACATGGTGAAGACGACCTGCTGAAGTTCAAACTGAGCATCAGAATGGGGATGAAAAGTGACTTTGAACGTGGCATGGTTGTTGGTGCCAGACGGGCTGATCTGAGTATTTACTGGGATTTTCAGCACAACCATCTCTAGGGTTTACAGAGGATGGTCCCAAAAAGAGAAAATATCCAGTGAGCCAAAATGCCTTGTTGATGCCAGAGGTCAGAGGAGAATGGCCAGACTGGTTCAAGATGACAGAAAGGCAACAGGAAGTCAAATAAGCACTGGTTCCAACCAAGGTGTGCAGAAGACCATCTCTGACGCAACAACACCTTGTCCAACCTTGAAGCAGATGGGCTACAGCAGCAGAAGACCACACCAGGTGCCACTCCTGTCAGCTAACAACAGGAAACTGAGGCTACAATTCACACGGGTTTTCTCACCAAAACTGGACAATAGAAGATTGGAAAAACCACATTCAGATGGAAGCATGGATCCATCCTGCCTTGTATCAACGCTTCAGGCTGTTGCTGTTGGTGTAATGGTGTGGGGGAGATTTTCTTAGTATCAACTGAGCATGGTTTAAACACCACAGCCTACCTGAGTATTGTTGCTGAGCGTGTCCATCCCTTTATGACCACAGTGTACCCATCTTCTGATGGCTACTTCCAGCAGGATAACGCACCATGTCACAAAGCTCACATCATCTCAAACATGACAATGAGTTCACTGTACTCCAATGGCCTCCACAGTCACCAGATCTCAGTCCAATAGAGCACCTTTGGGATGTGGTGCAACGGGAGATTCTCATCATGGATGTGCAGCCGACTAATCTGCAGCAACTGTGTGATGTCATCATGTCAATATGGACCAAAATCTCTGAGGACTGTTTCCAGCTCCTTGTTGAACCTACCCTCCCCGAAGCTAGAAATATTTTTCTTGACAGGGACAAGATTTAAGTTCAGAAAAGGTGTTACAATAAAAGACACAACACTGTGTGAAGGCAATTGATTCAGTCTCTATAAATATATGCACCAATGCCTCCTCGTGCTTGTTGTGTTGACATTTTTTGACCAAAACATAGATTAAAACTAAGGACATAGTTTTCTTGGTACATAAAACTGTTACTTTTTTTTATTTTCTAAAATCTAATTTTCACTTTTTTCATTTAAACTGTATAACTCCTCCCTCTGATGATCGGACTCATTTGGTTATTTATAAAACAAAACACACAATATAATTACTCATTCTTATTTCATTTATAACGCTACAACCATTTCATTGTATATTGTATATATTTCAGATTGTCTACTTTACTATTTTATTATTTATTTTATTTTATTGTCTACTTTAATATTTTATTTTATTTTATGTTATTTTAATGTCTACTTTAATATTTTATTTTATTTATTTCATTGTCTATTTTAGTAT